TCCTAAAACATAAAGCCCAACACTTAGATTAAGTTGGGACGCTTCCGGATGGTTCTGGAATTTCAAAGTGTCCCCTACCTCTCCTCCTTTAACTCCGTTAATAACTGCTCAATTTTGATCCATTCCCTGTTGAATTTCCAAAATTCACTTCTCTTTTTGATATCACTCCTAGAAATTCTAACAAAATTTCTGCCGTTATTTTAATCGAGAGTTTTCGTAGGAGACCTTGTTTTCTTACGATGTAATTAACTACGAGGGCTTGCGCTCGTAGGAGATTTAGAACCACACACGCACCTGATTTTAAAAATTGATTTTTCAAAACTCAATTGGATTTCTTTGGGAAAACTTAAAATACTAGTGATCGTTATTATTACAATCAAAGAATTATCATCGAATGGTATTTTCTCCCTTTGGGGAGATACATATTTCTTTGATAAGGCTTTGGATGTGAACCTAACGATCACTCTTCTTGAATATTGTAGCTGGATATTCAGTTGAACCTCATTTTGATCCTTCGGGGCCATATGAAGTTCTCTTTAGCATCCGGTCACGATATTCAAGATGAATTTTATAATTCTAAATCTGAATACCGTTATGAAATTTTATTTTCACCTCTCGAGGTGATATACTTTTTCTAACGAGACAATTCGATTTTAGAATTCAATTTTAAGTCCCAAAGAAAACTAATATTTTTCAAAATTCCACCAACAGTCGCCTGACTGTCGAATGAACAGGTGGAACAGCTACAGCAGGCTGCCGGTGTTGAGGGGTCGGGGCAACCCGCACAACAGGAGCAGTAGGCACTTGATGCCTAACCGTCAGACGAACGGGTAGAATAACTACAGCAGGCTGCCGACGCTGAGGGGCCTGGGCAACCTGCGCAACATGAGCGGTATGCACTGGACGCCTAACCGTAGGATGAACTGGTGGAATGGGGAGTGGCCTAAGAACTGGTCGCCTAGCCACGGGGCGCACAGGCTGTGCAGGTACAGGAACGGGACGAGCAGGCGCCCGGGCCGTCTGCCGAGCAGCTGGTCGTCCGAAAGGATGCATGGCTATGCATCCTCTCCTCTAGGAATGAGAGAATGCAGCAGCCTCAGCCGGGGTTGGCCCGCCAAGAGTGACGAAGGTCGAGTTTATGAAGGAACCAAAAGTGATCTCTCCAGCTGGTGGACTGGCAAGCAAGGACTCAGAAAGAGTCACCCGTGCGTTCGAACCAAATTTAAAAGTGACGAAAGGTACGAAGGAAGCCATGACACTGCTGCCAAGAAAAAATAGTGAAAAGAATTAGTTAGAATTAAAATCAAGAAAGAGTGAAGAATTCAATATAAATTTGATAAAGGTAGATAGAAATTGATAGGGAAATGAATAGCCTGTAAGGCTAGAAAGAAGTAGAGTAGGGGGAAAACCCTAGCTATAAGGAAAGGAACCCTAACTAAGGAATGAACCTAACTAAGGAATGACCCTAACTAATAGTGGGATAAACCTAATCTAAGGAGTACCAATCCCGGAGTACACACCAGAAAGGATAATATATAATCCAAAGATGGAGAGAGAAAGTGGTCCCACCGTGGTCGCTAGAAACCTGTTGACCTCCGAAAGAGCACCGCACGAACGAGTCAATTGGAAGGGACAGATTAGATCATACATACGACTAACTGTTGAGGATAGAGGCTGTCGCCAACACACCTCGATGGGTAGTAATATACACGACCTAATTATGGGTTTCCCCCACCCGATACAACAGTTCTAATGGGGTTTAGTAGATGTGGGACCGAGTTTCCCACTGGTGTAAGCCACCATGGTTAATTACATCCCAGGCCGGAGCCCGAGAAAAATCTCGATTAAGAATCATACATTATCCCCTCCTAAAGTGGGATTGGCATAGGGGTGAAGACTAGGAAATACTATTCATAAGGAAGAAAGGTTTTAAAGAGGCTAAATCAACATGCGTGGCTCTTACCAGCACTCGGACACTCTAGGGTACTAAGGAGAAGCTGAGAAAAGAAAATCAAGCACTTAATCACATGCTTAAGAGAAGAGATGGAGGTGGCATCATCCTGTGATGCGGATAAGTAAGATTTATAGCCCCTAAAAGGAAGGGACCTACCTACTATTTAAGGCATACTACGAGAACGAATGTAGTAGCCTCGAATCCTAAATCTAGGTTGAGCATAGTGTTCTACAAAACACTAAGACCCGTGTCCTAGCTAATGTAGTGCAAAACCATGACTTACCTCGGCCTGGATTGGGGAGCCAGCTAACCACCTAATAGCTTCAAAACCATGCTATCAAGTCAGTTATGAAAGATGGGTGGGTGGTAAAGTTCTTTAAAAATAGGACTGACATCTAGAGAATTTCCTAAGTGGTCCTAGACTTATGTGGATCAGATGCTCCTATCTAATGCAATTAAATTTTATTTAGTTGGTTACAAATGCAATGCATGCTAGTTGAAATGTCAGCTCATGAATGTTATAGAATTTTAAAAAATAGGCTTATAGAAAATAATTTTTTAGAAAAGACTGAGTCTCCTTAGGTTCGGCACTTCATCCTCATAGGCCAGATTATCAGGACGGTTCCGGCAATTCCCTAGGTTTGTTAAGTTTCTAAATTATTTAAAACTTAAATATTAAATTTTGGTTATGAGTAGAAAAATTTTATAGTCCTTAGAAAGCTAATCGGAATCCAGGCGAAAACAAAAGCGGCATGCAAGAAAGAAACCTAAAAAAATAGGCAATTTCTTCTACGCAATCAGGTAAACACATCAATATAAGTCCAAAAATAATCAACTAAATGGCCATAGGCAAATTATCCTTACTACAACCCAAATATATAGAAAGTAAAGTGGCCGGGCACCACTGCCAACAACCCGGATTTCTAAGCCTATGACAGACGCAAATGACTTTAAGTGGGATATTGGTCTTCAGTCTTCTAGGTATTTTCTTTTCTTCGGACTCCTTCGAACTTTCATCCTTGGACTCCTTGGATCTCTCATCCTTGGACTCCTTGGATCTATCCTCCTTGGACTCCTTGAATCCGTCGTGGCTTGAATATCCAAATGAAGAGATAATTCTCCTTTTTGGGGATGATTACCTTTTCTCTTTGGATATCTAAAGCCATCCAACTCGATCTTCCAAATGGAAGAAGAATCTCCCCTTTAGGGATGCCTTCTTTTTTTGGGATTCGAGTTGGATAAGAATATCCACACTCAAAGACCATTTTCATAACTCTTTACAAATATTACAAATTTTATATCAAATATAAAGAAGAAAAAAAATTCTAAAGTCCCTACAAGGTTATCCTAATAAAAATCAATCCCAAGCAGTTTATATATAAAAATAAAAACTCAACTCATTAAAGCTGTGCCAAGCCATGCTCTTAATTATGAGGGCTAAGCAGCTCCACCTGTAGCAGTTACAATTATTTTTAACCCTCATTTATTTAGGGGGGCTGAGCAAGCACATGCAAAAGATAATATTAGAAAATATAATAGTGCCCCCCTTTCTATGTGTGTGTAAGGCTGGTGTGGCTGGGATAGGTCCTAATTTGGATAGTTAGTTAAAGTTGTCTAAAATTCAGATTTGTTATAGTCCAGAAAAGGAAATTTTAGTTCAAACCAAAGTTTTAATAGATTAGGATCCATTTTAGTAAATTAAGTTGGTTGATCAGTTTTAAAAGCTTAGGGTAATCATATTTGGAGTTTAAATTGCATTAGCAAATTTTGGAATGTCTCGGGTCCTCCAAGGTGCTAGGCTGAGGGGGTCTAAAAAGTCATTATGGGAAATAAGTCAGGTTTGAGATTCCCAACACCTTAAGAAAATACTAGACCTTAATATGAGTAGTTAGATAGGTAGTACACTAAAATATGAGTTTTCTAGGCAAAGTTATAAATTTTCTAAGTTTCGGACCCTAAATGAACTACGGTTGACCAAAAAGTTGAATTTCTAATCTAAGCCATTTTCTGGAAATATAATATTTTTAATAAATACTAGACCCTAATAGGAGTCTAATGCAAGTGAGTTTATCTAATTTGAAATTTTCTACAATTAGTAATGAATTTCTAAGTTCGGGATATTTAAGGGAATTTCTAAATTTCCTAATAAATGGCTGTTTTTATCGTTTTATTCCAAATCAACTCCAAACAGATTGGAATCACCCCTAAAGGTCAAGAATGACCTGAGAAAGTGATCCCAAGTGTTTGGGAAAAATTTGAGATTTTTAATAATTTTTAATGAATTATTAAGGGCAAAACAGTGATTTCCACCTATTATTAAATTAGGGGCCAACCTAAAGTCAAACTGTAGAGCCCTATTTATCTAAAGTCAAGGATCAGATTTTGGTCAGATCAAGATATTACTGCTAATTTTGTGACCTAAAATGTATTTATTATAATTTTTGGAACATCTCGGGGCCTTATTTAGTAGGTTAATTTGGGTCGATTAACTAAGGGTCTAACAAGCCCTAAAAATTCCTAGAAAATTCTGAGATGTTTTAAATGTCACTAAGTTTAAGTGTATAAGTTTTTACGTAAATCCGGGGTCTATCCTAGCCCCTAGAAAATTTCTAAATTCGTTAAACGAGTCTTTATTTTTTGTCCTTAGGGTATCGCTATGTTATAAAGGTTTAAATTGAAGTTCACACTAACCCTCAAGGTAATAATGCATGGAAAACATATAAAAGTAGTAAATATATCATGTCCTTAGATCTAGGAGAGCCTAAACTAAGTGCTCGTGGTGCGACCTACACATGCAATCTACGATAAACAAAAAAAAAGTAAAGAAGACTAATGAAGGGATTGGTGAATGATTAGAACTCAACCATCCACTAATCCACTCCCCCATAATTACTCTTCATGCACATAACCCATGTTTAAAATTCCATGCTTAGTGAGTCTCCCAAAATTAGAAGATTTAACATATAAGTAATTTTAAAGTAGTTTTAAAATACTTAAATACATATATGTAAATTTTAAAAATTAAGATAATTAAAAATAAGTGAAGTTATAGTAAATAAATATACGGGAGACCCACAGTTCACCCAATCAAGGTTTCAAAATAATTTTTAATTTCAAAATAATTAGGGTAATTAATTATTTAAATAATATTAAAATAGTCACACAATGGTAAATGACCTAAATCTACCAGTATAGTCAAAATCAGTCTCTGAAAATAATTTTAAATTAAAATTCATATTTTTTTTAAAAATTCAAGGGGTTATACGTCAAAATCCGATTTGAAACGAGAAAGTTATGATTTTTCGAAGTTTAAATGCAATAAAATGCTATTTAAAGAATAATTATAAATAATTAATGTTTAAAATGATTATTGAATAATAATATATATATATATATATATAATATTTTTAACTAAAAATAATTTTAAATTAACGGGGCCGCGAATACGAGTAAAACGAGGTATTGCACGCATTTTTTGGACTTGTAAATATTTTTAAATCATTTTTTTAAAGAAATATGCATTTAAAAATAATTTAAATATAATATTAAATAGAAAACAGCGGCGGCGGCGGTCATGGGGACACGTGGCATGCGCGGGTAGGATCCGTGGTTCTCGGCCAATGATTGCGCTGCCGCAATCATTGGCTATGATTAACCAATCATTGGCGGCGGTGGTCCCGCTCTCACTTGGCCACGTAAGCGTGGATCTGGACGTTGATTTCGCACGATTCAAATCAACGGTCTTGATCGAGTCGGACAGGCACGGATCGAACAAGAGCCGATACACATGAGGATAGGCGTGTAGTCTGACTAGATCGTGGTCGTTGATCTCAAGATCAACGGCCCAGATCAAGGGGACGGCGAAGCCGAGCCCTAAGTCAATATTTTGACTCGTTCTCCCTCGATACTCAACCAAATGACATGAAATTTGAAACACATGGCCTATGGATGAAGAGAACCCTTGGGGAAGTTTTTATTTGGAGAATAATCAGCTTTTCGAAAAGCTATTTAAACCTAAGTGTTGTGACCTATTATAAGGGTTTTTGAGAGATCTAACAGTTGGATTTTCACGTTCTTGGGCTCGTTGGACTCGTGAAAT